GAGGAGCCCGCACAGTGCGCCCATAGTCTTGGTCAAGAAGAAGGCAGGAGAATGGCGCATGTGCGTGGATTACCGACAGCTCGATTGGATTACGCCCACTCGATACCGGACGCCTACCCTGTTCCTAAGATTAACCACATCCTAGAATGATTACGACAAGCCCGGTTCATATCCACCTTAAAAGTGGTTATTGGCAGATCCCGATGGCAGCAGACAGTAGAAAGTGTACGGCATTCACTGTCCCGGGAAGAGTCTTGTTCCAGTGGCGAGTAAGGCCCTTCGGATTGCACTCGGCGGGGGCAACGTTCCAAAGAGCGCTGGATACGATTATCGCACGCAAGATGGACGGCACGCGTTCGCCTATTTAGACGATATAATCGGAGCTACAAAGGAACTGCAGGAGGTTTTCCAGCCACTAAGAACGGCTAACCTCAAGGTCAATAGGAAGAAGTGCAGTTTCTTCCCGATCCCGCAAAGCTCGAGGCGATACGGGACTACCCGGCTCCGAAGAACCTGAAAGAGTTTCGGCAGTGTTTAGAGATGGCGTCCTGGTATAAGCGGTTTGTGCCAGGCTTCGCATCGTTAGTCCAACCGATGACAAAGTTGCTCAAAAAGGGAAAGAAATGGGCCAAGACCGAGGAAGAAGAGGACGCGCTGCAGAAACTAAAGAAAAGTTTACCGATGGCACCAGTCTTGGTATGCCCCGACTTCTCGGAGAAAATCGTGATGCAAGCCGACGCCAGCGACCCCAGCTTGGGTGCGGTACTGACCCAGAAAATCAAGGGACAAGAACGAGTCATAGCCTACACCAGCCGAAAATTGTCAAAGGCGGAGATGAACTATTCGGCCATGGAGAAAGAATGCCTCACGATCGTTTGGGCGATCAAAAAGATGCGTTGCTATCTGGAAGGCTACAGGTTCGACATGGTCGCGGATCACCTGGCACTGAAATGGCTTAACTCCATAGAGAGCCCCACAGGCAGGATTGCTCGATGGGCATTAGAGCTACAACAATATAAATTTGATGTCCGTTATCGTTGAGGACACCTGAACCTGGCCGACGCACTGCCACGCCAACCCTTAAAGAGTTTTCAACAAACGGAGGTCTGTCCCCTTTATAAATGGATGGAAATGGGTTCAGCCCATCGTTTCTGATGCAGGGGCGGGAGCCGCGATTGCCGGCTGCCCTGTACTTCACCCGGACGCCAAGAAGGACAAGATGAGGAAAGTGTTCGCGATTGATCGCGATAACCTGCAGCGCGCCTCGAAGGATCAAGGGCAATATTATAACCTGCGGCGACGCGAATGGAGGCCGAAGCCATGCTCGTCAACCCTATTGAAGCAGCATCAGTTGTCCAACGCGGCGGACGGTTTCGCAGCAAAACTGGCACCGAAATTCTACCATTTTTTAGAATCGTTAGCTTCGTCTCCCACACAATAGTGCGGCTTGCCAAACGCGGCGAACGCAAAAGAAGGGTGGCCAACATCTCAGAATTGAAGCCTTTCCATCATGACGGCGATGAGAGCGATGAGAGCGAGGAAGAACCAGACGAGAGTCAAGGGGCGATCGATGCGGGTTTCCAAATCACTGACGATGACACACCTCAGTCTCAATAAAGTCCTTACCTAACATGATAGTTTGAGGGCCATTCTTAAAAGAAACGTGTTATTTAATACTTGGGTTTACAGATAGACATCGAAATGGAAAACGAAATCAGCAGGAGAAAGAGAGATGGAAAAAGAAGAGACGGCCCGTGTCGAGGACATGAGCGACACCGACACTGAACCATTCCCCGGGGCACGAACGGCGAGGCGACCCAAGGATGAGCCGGGACAATTACCGGCCCCGCGAGGAGCGACCCCCACCCAATTTCCTACACACGGTCCATCAGTTCTCGATTAACATCGCGGAAGAGTAGCAAGACCACGGTCCCGAATAGGGACCGCACGAGCCGTAGACGGAACCAGACACCGCGCCAGGACCAGGGGAAGATGAGGCCCAATTGCTGGCCGATATCTTGGACGGCTGGGAGCCCAATTTAATCAACATCCTCATGGGAGAGAATACCCTCGTTCGGGTCGGCACCAGCGATCTCGGCCGGCAGGAGGATCCATCTCGGCGGCACTACATTTAACGAAGGGGTAGTCCAGGCAGTACAGCGCGAGCTAAGAGCACGGCAATTACCAAGCAGGAGAACGAATTTCCGCGACAGGGTCGATACGGTCAAAGTGACAATCGCGGCATCGGGGGCGTGACCATCTCCCTGATAAGTAAAGGGGGGTGTAAGACGGCGCATTGCACACAATAATGGGATGCTGTCGCAAGGAGCGCACCGCACAATTAAATGAATTCAAATGCAATTAGGGAACCCGCGCAAATCGCAGCGATCGACAGTGCAACCGTGCCCTTCGCGGTGAAAGCTCAAAGGGCCGACGCCTTGGTGAGGTTCACTGCCGATGCCGAAGGGGATCGCGTGGCCGAGATGTGAAAGCGGCTCAAAATCGCAAGAGATGATTATTGGTTCGTAAGCGGGCAAAAGAAGCAGGTGCGCGTCGAGTGATAAAGAGCGCGCGCAATAGCTCAGATGTTAAGAAAACAGTGAAAACAAGTAAGAACGTTGCACTCGAGCATTACCGACTGCGAAATAATCATTCACATCCCATCAACAATTTAGTAGTTAAGTTTCGCTCTAATACTGTAGAAAATACATTTGCCACGCCCCTACCAGGCATAGACACTTCATTTTTGGTCAGATCTTAGAACGTGATAACGGTACCTTAACTGCAAAGTTTGAATGCTTTCCCTCAAAAAATGTGAACATTACAGGGTATTTTTCGGCATATCGCCCCTAGAGGCGTAAAAATTATTTTTGGGTCATCGATAGAGGACTTTACTGGTATCTTAACTATCTAAATTAGAAGCTTCTAGCTATTATACTTTAGGAGATATAAACTTTTGCGGTTTGCCACGCCCCCTGTGGGCGGACATATATCCGACAAAGCTTTTTGGTCTTGGGTGATCAGCCCGAGTATATATACAAAATTTGAGGTCTCTGGCATCAATAGTGTCCAAAATATACCAGAATGTAACAATTCACCATATCTTCAGGTCCGATTTGCCACGCCCCCAATGGAAGTAGACTTAAAATTTTATCTTTAGACTTTATAGAATCATAACATTAGCTGTCGTGCAATTACAGCGCTCTAGCTGTAAAACTCTTGGAGATACAGTTTTATCCGATTTGCCACGCCCCCAATGGGCGGAGATATATCCGCCATAGCTCGTGATCTTGGGTGGTCGACGCGGACCTACATACCAAATTTCAGCTTGCTAGCTTTTCAACAAACATGATTTCATTTATTATTTTCCGATTTGCCACGCCCCTAGTGGGATCGGGAAAATTTTAACACTTTATAAATCGGAGATATACACGAGTATGTGCTCCAAACTTTTAGTCTCTAGCCGAAATAGATTGCGTTCATACGGACAGACGAACAGACGGACATTGCACAAAACCAATATACTGATTCACTTTCGTGAATGAGTATAATAATTGATATTTTAACATTATACATTTTAAATGTTTACATTAATAATAAATCTGCCAATAGATATTCTACAGACTCTTCGGTCTCATAATTTAAATATTCCTTGGTTGCGATCGATTTGAGGCAGTTTAGAAAAACTCTGTAATCAAACCATCATCTGTTATCTCGGCTCAATTCGGATGTAAATTTTTAAAAATATTAGTTTCTGTTTTAATGAGACTGTAATTCTTTAAACCTTTACCTTATGGTTGATATTGAGTTTAACGTATCAAAGTTCATCCTATTTTTATACCCTGAACCCATTTTCAATGGGAAATCAGGGTATAATGGTTTTGTTGAAATGTATGTAACAGGCAGAAGGAGGCGTGGCAGACCCCACAAAGTATATATATTCTTGATCAGGGCGACGAGCTGAGTTGATTTGGCCCTGTCCGTCTGTCTGTCCGTCTGTCCGTCTGTCCGTCTGTCCGTATGTATGAACGCGTCGATTTCAGAAGATATAAGAGCTAGAGACTTCAAATTTTTTTTAAAATGTCCGTAATTACAGCGCGCATATCAAGTTTATCATTAAAAATCGATAACTCATCTCGATCTTTTTTTATCGATAAAAAACCTTATCGAAACCCTGTTATAAAATTATATCTTCTACACCTTTATTGCTAGAGACTCCAAATTTTTAATGTATGCTTATATGCAATTTATACAATTTCGGTTTTTGTTAAAATTTACCCCCCACCTCTAAATTCTCCCCCTCACCCTCACTTTTGTAAAAAGCGTATTTCAAATACTAGAGACTTGTGCTTTGGCAATTACATGCATATTCATGTTATAATCATAATCTAAAAGTTTCATGAAGATCGTACGTCCATAAAAAAAGTTATTAAACAATTAAGTTCTCATAGTAAGCGCACACTGCAGCCCATGCGTGTTTATGCGTGGTTGCTTGTGTGTGTATGTGTTTGTGTATGTGTGTGTGTATGTGTGTGTGTGTATGCGTTTGTGTATGTATGCGTGTGTGTGTGTATGTGTGCCTGTGTTTGCGTACGTGTGTGTGTGTGTGCGTGTTTCTTGTGTAAGCTGAAAGTCGCGAAAAAGTATTGAAATATCTATTGCTCCAAGGGTTCAGGGGATCTCGTAGTCGAGCAGTCTCGACTAGAGCTTTCTTACTTGTTTATTTAATATTTTATTAAATTGACTTGGCTAAAGACCCTTCAACTTCGGCATTCCACCAAGGTAACGAATGTATGCGAAGCGCAACAGCAAATATATTTAACCACTATATGTTAGAGATGAAAGTATTGCAGAATTTGTGATGTCAGCCTTTAATAATTGCCAGCTTGTTAGTTTGTCTATTAATCGGTAACTAATATCAGATATTAAACAAAACATGTATGAACTAATTCGATTCATACATAAGCCAGATTTTCCGCTATCCGCGATTTCCAAATTTTTCCCGCAATCGCACTTGATCTGGCCGAAAATAAGCCAAAACGGCAATACTGATGTACATATACCCAGTGGCGACGACCTGAATGAGGTCTGTTGAAATAATGCATTACATACGACAAAAAAGTAATGCATAACCTATGAACATTTTTTTCAGCGCATTTGTAAATAAAAAGTGCTACTCATACGACAGAATCGAGCTCTTGTCAACTTCGCTTCTGTATGCCCCTTCCCCGCTAACCAACAAACGATTTTCGTCTTTCATTGCGTCGCGACGAAATCGCCGAATTTCGTTTTGGACTTTACCGTTTTTTGCATGGAATGCGTGCCTTCTTTCGTTTGGTTTTTTTGTCTATGCCTATTCCTTTTGTGTGTATAGTGTTAATGAGTGTAAATACAAGTTCAAAAATGCATATGTGTGATGATTTCTGTTTTCGTTTTACCCGCCGCGGCGCGTCACTTTTCTGCTATTGTTGAGCCGTGCGGACGTAAATTTAAAGGGAAGTATCTGGTATCATCTTACATGTATTTTTAATGACAAAAAAATTAATATTGTTTAATTTACAGATGCTATAAAAACCGAAGGGTCCACTAAGAAGACCTATGTATATAAGTACAATAAGAAACTGCTTTCGGGTCCAGAAAGGTCGACTGGCAAAGCAGAAGTTCGATAATAAGGACAAACTAGATAATAAGACATAGCTTTAGATTTAGATGTAGATAGATATAATAAAATAGTAATAATACATAGTTTAAGACTATACATTTATTTATAGATATTAAGAAATAATAAATAATAATTTTTAAATATTAAAACAAAAAATACTACATTACTCAAGCGTTTCTATCTTTCAATTAGTAATCAATTATTTCTCCAATTACATTGCATTAAGAAGTAAGCCATTTTATATAGTGGGAAAAATGGGTTGCAGGTATATTGTGTTGTAATGTACGCACATTACTAACCCATAAGCGATTTTGAAAATGTATAAGGCGTTTTCTTCAGGTTGCGGAATTTCTACATTACAATATTTAAAAAGTATACGCATGGGTAATGGAGAGCCGAAGGAAACTTCGTCACCTCATTACTTTCTGCATTACAAAATCCAATAATTTCAGGCACCCGGGAGAAAAAGCGGCCATTCCTTAAAAAAGTAAGGCAGCTTGTAATCGATCTTTTCATGCACACAGGCGACAAGTAATCCATGAGTAATGGACAAAATAATGGGCATTTGTGCCACTGGGTACATATTTGAGAGAGTAGAGAGCATCGGAGAGAGAGAGAGAGAGAGAGAGAGAGAGATAGAGAGAGCAACGGAAACATTCAGCGCAGAGGGATCTTTTGTTCAACAGTCGACCATCTCGGCCGAGCGCATGAAGAGAAATGATTTAGTGTTCCCATCAGTGTTACCAACTTTTGTTCAGCAAAAAAAGCTGTTTTTAGTGGGAAGATACTTAAAAAAAAGCTGAAATTTTGTGAAAAAAGTCGGACAAAAAAGCTGATGGTTTTTGCTTTGCTTTGATTGATATTTACTTATATTTTTAGTAACTAGAAGTCATGGCTGCATTTCTTCAACCGTGGCAAGCCGTATCTGTAAAGTTTTACGCTATATAGGTTTTACCTGACGCTTAAAATTGAGTAAGCATATCAATATTCATTTTATTGCGTTGTTATGTTTTTACAGTATTGACCTGACTAAAACTTTTCGCCACTTGCGCGTTCGACCATGGCAAGGAAAGCAATGTCATTGCAAAAGTTGCCAAGTCCCTACATTTTTTATTTCCTCCCGAATTCTTATAAGCACACCTCTTACCCTAAGCTATGTAGAGTCTTAAGAATTTCTCCATTGAACTGGGAGAATATTCTTATATTGGTGTTCAATACTTTCAAAATTCTTTGAATAGAATAACTCTAGTATTGGAACGATACTATTTTTATTTACTCGCAAAATATATATATATATGCAAGAAACAGAATTTTACACCATTTGAAAATTTGCCGGCAGCCTATTAATTAAAACATATTTAGTTAACACAAACTACTACTACATGTTATCAAATGAGTTGCATACATTCTTTTTAATTGCTTTATAAGATCTATCAGAGAATTTCAAGTTCGATATTCTTGCTTAAATAAGTTATATTAAATAAAATATAAATCATATTTTAGTTCAGTTAGTTCCACTCTATTATCGGTTGGTTCATTCTCAGAAAATTGACCTAATTAACTATTTAGTTTTAATTAAACTGCATTGACAAACACTTCTACATACGATAAATCGCTACAAATGATGATAAATTGATCAGTAAAGAAAAAAGCTGAAAAAAAAACAAATTAGTTTTTTAAAAATCCAGAATTCCCGCTGCCCGCTGTTTTGTAATTTTTCCCGCAATTAGATTTTCAAAAAAGTCAGATTTGACGGGAAAAAAGCTGATTTGGCAACACTGGTTCCCATATTTTCATAGCCCGAACCTAAAAGTGAGGAGACGAGCAAATACGAAGTGGTCTGGGAACTAATGCTCGAAAAGAAAGTGTGCAAAACGCTTTACACTACTTGTCCGGTCTATGTGTTCTGTTGTTAGTGGCGGAACCTACTGTCAGTGCTGCCAACTTTTATTGAGTGTATATATTATAAAATATAAATAATAATATAATATAAATAAATATATTTTTTGTGGCTCATAGTCATTTCTTCAACCGCCACATTTGTAAAGTTTTACAATATACATATGTATATACTTGACACTAGAGTTAAGCATATTGTTTTGCGTAGTATTGTTTTTGACAGTATTGACCTGACTAAACATTCTTTCTACTTGCGCGTTCGACCATTCCAAGGAAAGCAATCCCATTGCAAAAGTAGCCAAGTCCCTAAATTTTTTATTTCCTCCCGAATCCTAATAGGCACGCTATTCAACCCAAAACTTTGTAATGTCTTCAGTATTTTCCAGTATTCACTGTACAATAATCATATTTCGTTAAGACATAAATTCTTGTACTACATGCAACCAAATCATTTGCATACCTTCTTTTTAATTGCCTTATAAGCTCGGTTAGAAAATTTTTACGTTTCTTTTACAGGAAATCACAAAGTTTAATAATATTGCTCAAAATAAGATCAATTGAATAAATATAAATCATATTATAGTTCAGTTAATTCCACTCTATTATCGATTGTTTCGTTCCTTGGAAATTGAAATACTGAACTGTATTTAGTTTTGAATTCAATCCGGAATTCCCGCTGCCCGCTGATTTGGAATTTTCCCGCAATTGGATTTTTAAAAAGGCCAGATTTAACGGAAAAAAGCTAATTTCGCAACACTGTCTACTCCGTCTTTTAACAGCGGAGTACTATGAAACTATGTTGCAACAGCCTTATCGACAACATTAACCCTTTATATGGCACCACGTCCGATTTTGATGCGTTTTGTTTTATTAGATAGAAAACTGAAAATAAAAAATACAATTTTTTCGTTTTTCAAAATTTTGATTCAGTACGATTTTATAAAGGAAAAAGGATTTGTTGCAGATATGCAACAGATGTGCTTAAGGGGAAAAAAAATTACTGATAGTTCTCTGGGTATTTAGAAGAACGTAATATTTAATTTGGATATTCTTAAACTATTTAACATATTATTATATTTATTTAATGACTATACGACTATTTATCTTAATAATATATTTATTAAACTTTACTTTAAGTGGAAATTTTTAAAACAATTGTTTCTCTTGTTGAAACATAAGGCCACTTCACATTTCCCACCCATTACTTGAGAATCCCGTACACTTCGGGTACTTGCACCTTATTCGTTTTTCACCCCACAAAGGCCAATGTCCAAAATCATCCTGCCGTACCATTCGATTTGGCACGCGTTGCGTAGGACCTCTTTGTTTTCTTTGCTGCAATTCGTTTTCGAGCATAGAACTTCTTTTTCCTATTATTGATTTGGTATCAATTTTTGTTAGCACCTCTGCAATATTTATCCGAAACTCGGAAGATCCTAAGAGTTTAGTGATTGATGCATTCACGTGAACGCGTTTGTACAAAAGCCAAGCATTACTCACTGTCAAGTCGAGTAGATGGTAAAAAATGCGAACCTGCCAGCGTCTACTTCTTAGTAAAGTTTTATATCTTCCAATAATGCTGTCGATCAGATCAACACCTCCCATATAGCTATTGTATTGTGCTACTGCAAAGGGTCGGTCAATCTCTACGTATTCCTTTTTGGCTTTGTTGAATCGACGTGCTTTGTCCTCTAGTAGTATTCCAGCATAGTTGGATGCCAATGATACGACTTTATTATCCAACCATGATGTTACTGATATGTCAACTCCGTCAAAATCAGCGACATATTCTACAGACGTACCACTTGGATGCTTCTTCAAATTAATATTATCAATTGTTTTGTTATTTGGAATTCTTTTTCTTCGAATAGTACCCAAAGCTAAAATTCCTTCATCCGCTAAGTATTTCAAAATGGGCAATGAATTGAAAAAATTGTCAAAATAAATTCGAAAGTTCTGATGCCTGGGCACTTCTCTGACCATTCTAACAACACAGTTTGATGCCGCACCTAGATCTGGTTCGTTAGGCAAAACTTTGTTTTCATTTCCTGAATCTATCTCAAACTTATAGCAGAAGCCTGATTGACCGCTAAGAACATAAATTCTATATCCCCATTTATGAGGCTTGTCCTCATCCGTACCATCCAATTCTTCTTTGTCTGGCTCGAAATCACTTTCTTCATTGGCAGAAAACTCGAATTCGTCCTCGCTCTCCAAACTATTAAAAAATCTTGCGATTTTCGAAGGTGTCAATCCCCTTGCGGACATTATTCCTAAGTAAGAAATACTGTCTACAAAAATATAAGTATGTGTAGGTCGGCCTCAAAGAACATAAAAGACATAAGACAATCCAAAATAAATTCATAGCAACACATAATGACACAAAACAATAAAAGAATTATATAGTGACATATACAACATAAGCACAATAAATGGTATGTTGCATAAATGCAACAAAATTGAGAGTGCAAAAAAGAAGTCCTAATAGTACTTTGTTGCATATCTGCAACATACCGATATTCAAGAGTTACTCACAATACACAACAACAAACCCAAAAACTTGATTACAAACGCATTATTAATATAGTTACCTTATTTAAAAAGTAGTTGTTCGCAAATTAAAAATTTTTGTTATTAGAAAAATTTGCAAATATAAAATTGATTTCGACACCATATACACAATTCACTAAATTGGCGGGAAATTTTAATATTTGTATGGCAAGACATGTGGACAAGTGCGACCAGCTACAAAAATCGAAAAAACACATATTTCTGACTTACAAAAAAATTTGCTATACCACTTTCTTGATACCCATTGCGAAATAACTCAATTTAAACGGTATGTTGCAGATATGCAACAAGGCCGTATAAAGGGTTAAATATTCAATAAAATATGCCATCCTTTGAAAAATTAAGCGAAAAAAAATATTAATATAAGTGGTGGAACTCTGGTTTAAATGAATGTTCGAGAATAGTAAGCGATAACGAGTGTACCTTTCAGATGATCTATCGATTTTTCAATAAAACATCTTCAGCGAAAATGGCAAACGATGTAAGCTAAAATAAATTAATTTAAAATAGTATTTTACAATATTTTTGCATTTTTGTAGGAAATCCCAACTAAAAATTGTCAAGTTAACGCGAATGTAAACAGCGCAGATATTTCTGAAGAACAACGGCGTATCTGGGTTGGTAATCTTGATTCACGCATTACCGAGTAAGTTGTGAGCTGTGCATTTGTATATGATTTGCTTTCATTCCTTTGAATTGTGCTAATATATACTTTTTCTTTGATAACAATCGGTTTCAACTTCTCAAACTAATGCAAAAATGCGGTGCCGTTGAAAAGTTCGACATGTTATTTCACAAGGGTGGCCCAATGGTAGGACAGTCGCGAGGGTATGCCTTTATCACATTTAAAAAAAATGAAGGTGCCACAAATGCACTTATAAAACTAGACGGATCAAATATTGGCAGTCGTTCTATAGCTGTTCGTCTTGCTAAGAACATAAAATATGTAAATAAATTTCTCATCTTGCTGGAAAACAGGTTCAGCTTATTTTTTACTTATCATTTATAGGATGATCTGCAGCGGCCCAAGCCTCGACTTGAAATACCCGCGCTGGGCCGAGGTAAGCGCGAGGATAAAATTAGCAAGTCGGACGCAATTCGTGCCATAGAAGCCAAACTTAGGACTCTAGAGCGACAGACAGATAACAATTTGGAACTCGACACCGCACGAGAGGAAAATATTCCCTTTATCTATCGTTACCAATTCAACAAAAGTCGTGATGACACACAACGTACTAGACCACACGGCAAATATAATAAACCTAAGCCATCGGCATCATATTTGCGTCAACTTCCCAGCCGACGCTAACATGGAACTAAATCACATACCCTACTACTTACACAACTCACTTAAATTGAATATATTATTTTCTCGCTGTTAAGATATAACGAAATTATTATTTTATTTTTGCGCAAATTTAAATTTTCCACGCATTTCCTTTGGTAGTGGCTCTGTTCCAGGGCAGTACACTTGACCGGCGATTTCACATATGCAGTGGCGTTCGCAACTGTATCCAAAATTGGCCGGGTTGTCTTTGCTCTCTGCCAAACGCGCCTCGGCGACAAGTTCCTCACTAAAATTGATGATAATAATTAAAGGTACTGATGATATGGTTTGTCCGAGTTTTACCGAGTTTTTCCAACAACGTTGACAAGATGTTCAATGATTTCCTCTTGACTTTTAGAATCAATATCGATCATCATGTCCCGTCCATCCTCAAAGAAACAGCGTACAAAGGGCGACGGTGTCATATTCTTAAGAGTGACGACCTGCACATCTGGATTTCTGAATTGAATCTGTGGAACGTTCCAAAACACGAAATCCCTGTAAGAAGATAATCACTTATATCATCATCACCCTATTATAATGTACGCTTACCTGGCACCCGCATGGTGATTACCATATGTATTGTAACTAACGCTGAATATACGCACCCTTTCCTTTAGAACTAATTTGCCAGCATTTAAATATTTTAATGTGCGTCGTAAAGGCTCTCTTCCTTTCATAAATGGCATTTTATAAGGGGATTATTATTTTTAATTAATAAATAAAGAACGAATTGGCCGCTTGTGTAATCTAGTCCACCAAATATCGATATATCTAAACACAATGCATTCCGATAGATACTTGACTCTTCACCACGATTGAGTGATAGTAGGTTATGCAAAGCGAACAGCTGATTTGGCAGCGTGACGTCATTATTTCAGAAAATGGTGGGCGCGCGTTTGAATTTGTATGAAAATCAAGCAACTTTGACACTGTTATTTGTCTTAAAACTAGTAGACTAAATAAAACGAGTTGGGCGGCTAATCACATGTTCTATATAGATTCACGAATCGGAAAATATAAAGGTTTTTGCTAATTTTTATACTCTAAATTGTTTTCTAAGCAGTTATTGATCATGCAATCCCTTGACCACTTTTACTCTTGCATATAATGGACTTAACCTTACTATCTAAGGCTTGAATTTGTAAAGCTAAAAGTTACTACTAAGTATTATGCATTTCCCATCAATCCGCATAATCATACGTACTAATTTCATTCTTTATATTACAAATCCGATGGCCATAGATGATACGCAGCATTGTTAGCTTCTGTCTAAGTTTTAAGAGCTGATTCAGGAGGATTATGTGTTTCCTTAGGTTTCAATACTTATAATCATACAAGTTTACGACTTGGCAACTAATACACAAATATTAGTTCATTCTACCGGATGTTTCTGACATGACAGCAGGGGTGAGCAGCACCTTTATTGATGCAGCTTCAACGTGTACTATATTTAAATGTGTAGGTAAATTGGCATAAATAAACAATACTGATGGCGAGAACCCAGTTAACTATGTCCATCAACCATTCCTGCTGACTTATTGGCCATTTTTGCTGCATTCGAGAGGCCTCCCAGTTCATTCCATTATATACTTAATTTCTTTATTGTATGGTAATAAAATTAGTGATTGACCATTTTTAAGGTATTTACTATTTAAATTTTTTATATATAGTTAGTTTTGGTTGTTTTGGACGACTTAGTCGATCTCTGCTGAAATGCCTTCCAAGCTTCAGCCGGGATATCATAGCAAAATCTGATAATGTGACGTCACAAGAGAGCTGTTAGTTAACATTAAAAGTAACGGGACTGCTCTTTGCGCAACCTACTGTGTCTTTTAACAGTGACTCTTCACTAAGTAAATTCGTGTTTCAGATATCGTTGGTAATGTAAAATCACAAACCAGAGTACACATAGATTAGACATGTAGAACAAATGTTTTCAACGACAAAAAAATGCGTTGAAGAGACTAGACAACTTCGTATTTGCTCGGCTCAGTCATTTGAGGCTCGAGCAGTGAAAATCTTACACGACGGAGTCAGTGCCAGCGTGACCGAATATAGTATTTTAAATACTTTTTGGTATTTTATCAGCTCTGATTTTGCTCAAAATCATGGTATATAGGTATTTAGTAGCATTTTTCTTCGATTTTACGGTATTATATGGTATTTTCGGTTTGGTCACTCTTTAAGTCTTAATGAATCGAATGCTTAATGCTTAAGACTTGCTTAATTTTAAAACAAATAAATAGAAAACATGAGCAATAAGCAAAAATATAGAGCTGAGTGGAAGACTATGCCGGAAAATGAAAAATGGCTGGGCAGGAGCGCAAATAATATGGATGCGCTCTGCAAAGCGTGCCAGACTGACATTTTGAGTAGGCTGGCGTCACTTAAGCAGCACGCGGCTACACAAAAACAAAGATAATATGAAATACTTCTGTGGAAAATCAAAGGTGAGTTCTTTATATGCTTTTAAATTATATGTAAATAATAACTATTCTTTTTTCATATTCAATCGTTTTTTAAAGAGTCGGACAACACTAGCTACCTCTATCAAAAAGGCAGAAATTATATTTGCTGCAGCCATTGCTGAACACAACATACAGGGTGACCGCGCCGGACCAAACGAAAAATACCAATTTGGTCTCAAAAATATACTATAAAATACTATTTCATATATTACAAAATACCATTATAAATACCATAACAAATAAATCGTCTGGAAATTCAAATTATAATAAAATAATAACTGACTTATTATATATAGAAAAAATAAGGGTTTTCCCATTGCAAAATATGTTTGTTGTTTATTTCAGTCCAACATAAAACTTGAACAATATGCATTCGTATTCAATTCCATATTCCAATATATATTTAAAGTCTTAAAATTAATTAAATGCTTAAAATTCATTTTGTAACTTTTTCTTAAAATAAAATAATAAAGGAACTTCTTTGTTCAGTCTTGCTAGTTTCTCTTAAGATCATTTAATTATATTTACTAGCCTTCTTCGTCAGAGCAGCTTAAATTCAATTTGTTGAAATCTTTACATCACACTTGTTCACTGGGCTTAAAATTATTGCACCCATTTTCGCGCAATGATTATTGTACATGTAATATATGTGATATATTTACATTTTTAAAGCGGTTTCGATTTTTCGTTTTGATTAAATTAATTTGAGAGAATATGCGTTCACACGACGGATTAGAAACGGGCAAAATTATTAAATCTTTGTTTTTGTGTAGCCGCATGCTGCTTAAGTGACGCCAGCCTACTCAAAATGTCAGTCTGGCACGCTTTGCAGAGCGCATCCATATTATTTGCGCTCCTGCCCAGCCATTTTTCATTTTCCGGCATAGTCTTCCACTCAGCTCTATATTTTTGCTTATTGCTCATGTTTTCTATTTATTTGTTTTAAAATTAAGCAAGTCTTAAGCATTAAGCATTCGATTCATTAAGACTTAAAGAGTGACCAAACCGAAAATACCATATAATACCGTAAAATCGAAGAAAAATGCTACTAAATACCTATATACCATGATTTTGAGCAAAATCGGAGCTGATAAAATACCAAAATGTATTTAAAATACCATATTCGGTCACCCTGACAACATATCAATGAGAGAACTGGACCATATTAGCGATGTGATCAAGCATGCGTTTTCCGATAGTGCCATTGCGCAAGGGTTTTACTGCAAACGCACAAAAACAGCTTCGCTTACGTACAATGAATTTTAAGCATTTAATTAATTTTAAGACTTTAAATATATATTGGAATATGGAATTGAATACGAATGCATATTGTTCTAGTTTTATGTTGGACTGAAATATTATTAATTTTTTTAAATGAAATAAACAACAAACATTTTTTGCAATGGGAAAACCCTTATTTTTTCTATATATAATAAGTCAGTTATTATTTTTACATATAATTTGAATTTCCAGACGATTTATTTGTTATGGTATTTATAATGGTATTTTTTAAAATATGAAATAGTATTTTATAGTATATTTTTGAGACCAAATTGGTATTTCTCGTTTGGTCCGGCGCGGTCACGCTGATTGGCATATAAGGATGCTAGCCAGTGTTGCCAAATCAGCTCTTTTCCCGTCAAATCTGGCTTTTTTGAAAAGCCGATTACGGGAAAAATTCCAAAACAGCGGACAGGGGGAATTCTGGATTTTTTAAAGAATAATTTGCTTTATTTCCGCTTTTTTATTTATTGAAGAAATTTTCGTATTTTGTATGGATAATTCGTATGAAGAATGAAGTTTTCTTCATTGTAGTTAAATTAAAACCAAATAGATCAGTAATTCAATTTTCAATGAACGAACCAAGCGGTAATAATATGGAACTAACTAAACTAGGATATAATTTATATTTAATTCAGAACAACCTATTGTGAACAACAATATCGAACTTTTTGATTCTATGTAAATGAAACGAAAAGATTAAAAAATGTATGCAACTCTTTTGATAGAGTGTAGTACAATATCGAACTTTTTGATTCTATGTAAATGAAACGAAAAGATTAAAAAATGTATGCAACTCTTTTGATAGAATGTAGTACAAGAATTTATGTGTTGCCGACAAATTTTCAAATAGTAAAAAATGTTGATTCCTTTTCATGCATAAATATTTTTGGAGAACATTGATAGTATTGAGCCCCAATATAAGAACATCCACCCAATTCAGTAGGAAACTACTCAAGACGCTACAGAGTTTTGAGTTGAGAAGCGTGTTCTAAGGGTTTGATAGGATATAAAAAATTTAGGAACTTGGCCACTTTTGCATTGTTTTCTTTGCCAATGCCCAAGTGGGTAACATTTTTCGTCAGATCAATACTGTGATGCTTAACTCAATTTCAAGCATCTGGTGAAACATATATTATAAAACTTCACAGATACGGCTTGCGGTGTTTGAAGAAATGATGCCATGATTATAAGTTGTTAAAAATATATTGAAATATCAATCTAATCAAAGCAAAAAACATCAGCTTTTTTTCCGATTTTTTTCACAAAATTTCGGCTTTTTTTTAAAGTATCTTCCCACTAAAAACAGCTTTTTTGGCTCAACAAAAATTGGCAACACTGATGCTAGCACTAACCACTAACCAGAGACTCTAACTAGTGTCTCTATCGATAGTATAAAAAACAATCGATATGGACGCAGAAATATAAATATTCGATAGATCGATAGTTTTACAGCACTACTGTACAGGAGTCCTGCAATTCATCGATGGAAATATCGATAGTATCGATGGACTTTCTTTTGCTAGATAGATCGATGGAATTTTCTCAATGTCGATAAATCGCTACAGACGCCAAACCACAAGTAAGTTCATACGTTGATACTCAAACAAGAACGTTGCAGTTGGGCGTTACCGACTGAAGAATACTCATTCATTTTTGGTCAGTTCTTAGAACGTGATAACAGTACCCTAACTGCAAAGTTTGAATGCTTACCCTCAAATAATGTGAAAATTACAGGGTATTTTTCGAAATGCCACGCCCCTAAAGAGAAGTAAAAATTTTTTTTAGGTCATCGATAGAGGAGGTTACTGGTAACTTTACTATTTAAATTTGAAGCTTCTATTATACTTTAGGAGATATCAATTTTTGCGGTTTGCGGGTGGTCGACGCGGACCTACATACCAAATTTCAGCTTTCTAGCTCTTCAACTAACATGATTTCTGGCATATCGGAAAATGCATTTCCCATTTTCTATTTACCACATTATTTAAATTAAAACAAGTAAGAAGGCTCCAGTCGAGACTGCTCGACTAGGAGATACCCTGAACCCTCTAAGCTGATATTCTAATCATTCTGCACTTCTTTTATGCACACATACATACACATGCATCCACACGCACGCATAAGCCTGTGCTCTGCTAACTGAGCAGTAAGCAGCAACTGCGCTTGGGCTGTGCTGCAATGTGGGAAATATTATGAGATGTTATTTGTTGAATATTTTCTTTTGTAGACATACGATCTTAATAAAACTTTCAGAGCGTAATTATATGGTAAATATGTATGTACATTCCAGAGCACAAGTCTCTAGTACTTGAAATTTGAATTTGAATTTTTTACAAATTGGGGGAGAAGGGGGCGTGGTATCCAAAATCTGTAAATTACAAAATTTGTATCGATTAACTTTATATACATCGCAAATTTGAAGACTCCAGGTGTAAAAGTGTTCAAATTAGGCTGAAAACACAAAACATTTTTCGATTATTCACGATGAAAAAGTTATCGGATGATTTATCGAAAAAATAAAGCGAACTTGTACTGCGTATGGTACACACGAGTATGCATGCCAAATTTCAGCTCTCTCGCTCTTATAACTTCTGAGATCGACGCACTCATACGGACGGACGGACGGACAGACGGACAGGGCTATATCGACTCAGCTCGTCGCGCTGATCAAGAATATATATACTTTGTGGGGTCTGCCACGCCTCCTTCTGCCCGTTACATACTTTTTCACAAAAGCATTATACCCTGATTTCCCATTTTCAATGGGTTCAGGGTATAAAAAATTAATTAACATTTTTGATCCCATCTGGTAAGACTCATACAATTAATAGCAAACGCGTTTTTTCTAATTGTTTTGGATTTTAGATAAAAGTGCTTCTTCGCCTGCAGACGCCAATGAGGAATCTTCATTTGCTGTTGCGGTAGACACTGAAAATATTGTGCCTCCGAATAAGCGAAAGAAATGTGAGAGTATGGAAGTTTTTTGAAAAATGCAAAGTGAAATGCCTGTTGTGTGGGCAGCAATATAAAACGAGCGGGAACACATCAAATATGCAAGAGCATTTAAAGCGTGCACATCCTCTCAAAATTGTTGAACACAAATCGCAGACAATTGATTAATTTATTGAGCACACGGATTTATATGAACCCTCGTCATCCAGAAAGGCGTACCTAGACAAAAAACTGGCCGAAATGGTTGCAAGCGACTTGCACCTCAAAATATAAGCCCACTGGATTATTGGAAGGTAAATTTGTAATAAATAAATTTATTTCATATTATTGTCGTACACTATCATCTAGATTAACTCCATTCAATTCGAATCATTTGAAAAATGTGCAAAAAATTACTGATCATTCTTGCTAGCTCCACGGAGTCTGAACGTATTTTCAGCAAAGCAGGAGAAATTACTGCGCACAAACGGAGCAGTCTAAAGTCAAAAGCTGTCGATATGCAAATTTTCTTAACGCACAATAATTGGCTACATAATGGATCTCACGATAATTAATTTCAGTTTTAAGCTCAAGACTTTTGTGAAAGATAGTCAAGCTTTGTTTTTTAATTTTAAGTTAAATTTTAAGACTTGTTAATTACAGTCGAACTTTTTGTTTTTTAGTTATAAGATAAATATGAACCAAAGTTTAGTTTTAGGATAGACTTTTTTGTGATGGACTGGAATACAAATATTATTTTTATGAATTAAGACGAAAAATCGTGAATTGTTTTGAACTTACTAAGTATAAATGTTTATAAAGTTGATTCTTTTTTCTATGAATTTTCAACAATTTTTGAATGACGGAGCTATTTTCGATGGAACCATCGATACTATCGATATTTTAATCCATCGGACTCAAACAAAATCGATGGACGATCCATCGATGGTTTTGCAGCACTGCTGTACAGATATGGATTGCGCCGTCTTGGCAAATGTTGC